GCTTTATCATCAAATATATATTTATGCAAGAAAGGGAAAAGAAGAGTATTCTGGGGGTAATTCTCATCCTGAATGCTTTTAGCACCAAGGAGCTCTGTAACCAGATAGGAAGATAAATAAAAATGTCAAAAATGTGGCATTATGACAAGTGTATTTACTTATCTCAGGAAAATCTGGCAAAGGTCCTGTTTAATTTACAGACTGAATGTAATCAGATTCATTGTCTTCTCCAATTTAGGAGAAATAAAAGGGAATTATGTTGGTTCTTATGCTTTCCATTTTCAGGTAAAGAATCTAAAAGTAATAACAAAACCATCTGAAAAGGGTATATTATTCAATAATAAAAAGTAAACATTTAAATTCTGATTCCTAAGTTAATTCCCTTAATACAATTTAGATGCCTATAGACAGATACCTTGTTCATAATATATTGATAAAGAGTAGTATAAAGAAGGTAATTCGATTTGTGTTAATACTAACAATAAACTTCTCAGTGCATAGTATGAGAATAAGCAATAAACTCTAATCTTTCTTTCCCATCTCATGGTATCTGAGGATTCATAAAAGATAAAAATACTCGTCTAAAGAAAATCTACCCCAGATTTCATGGTTCTCAGTGAAAAAATATTAATTAGTACGCCCAGATTTGTTTCTCAATGGAAAAGAATACCAACTAAATCTCAAAAAATTGTTTCTCTTTATAAAACTGGCAAAATATTGTTTCCAATGTGCATCTTTTAGCAATGTAAAGAGCTATGTTGTTTTCTGGAGAAACCACATGTGATAGAGCAAGTGTTCCACACTGCTGTGGCTCCCACTACTTCTGTCCTTGTACTAACCTGAGGCAGTCATTTGTGCTAAGAAGAGCAGATACACAGAGGTAGCATCCAACTGCAGGTGTCCCCACTGGTCATCACCCACTACAGTCGCACAGGTTTTGGTGTTGTACTTGGCATGGAGGCTATCCTTGGTACTCTGACTGTATTTGAAGGATTCTACTTTATCCACCTGAAGAAAACAAAAAGAATGAAAGGCGGCTATGAAGAAAAAGCAACCCATATGCCATACTTCTGTAGTGCTCTAACTGAAAATGAAAGGCTTAGTTCCTGAAGCTTAGATTTGATTATGTGTGCACCTGATATACAATAGTAACTATATCTTTAAATATGGTTCATTAAATTAGTGACTTTAAACTTATTTGATAAGGTAGAAAATGCAAATATCTAAAAAAATTTTTTTAAAGTAACAAAGAAGGGAGAAAAAAAAAAGAAATGATGGCTGTGAGATAACCCAATAGAGAGAGCACAAGTAAAAAAAGTTCAAAAGTTCAAAAGTCTAGAGTTGATTTATTTTATTTTAGACTTGTTGAATGCCTGTGAATGGTCATTTTATTAATCTGGGCTTCAATTTCTTCTTCTAATAAAATATAATATTGGTTTCAAGAAAATCGGTTCAGATTCAAGGTGTGAAACTTGTATAAAGATCTCAGATAAAGGGAAAGCACATTTTTAGTAAAACATTTTTGAATTAAAAAATATAAACAACCTAAAAGATAAATCAAAGACTGATAAAAATTATTTGCAGTATGTAACAAAGGATTAATATCCATAATGTTCAGGAGCTCCTCGAATAGGCAAGAAAGAGATAGCCCAAAGGAAACAGTCAAAAGACCTAACAGACAATTTAATAGAAGATGAAATGCAAAGTTTTAACCTACACATGAAAGAATGTTCAACTTAACTCAAGATCAGGAAAATGCAAATTAATGCAAGGAGATGTAAGTCCTTAGTGCTTTATCTCCAATCATAAAATATGAAACACTTCTAAAGGTTTTTATCCCTAAGTTTTGAACCAAAATTTATTGTGATATGAGGCTATTTGTAGTTTTCATTAATTTTATTAGTGTAAAAATGCTTGCTTCCCTAAAGAGAGATTAATATTTCTCATAATAGAGTGCTGTTCTGGACCTGTTGAGGGCATAACATACTACATGGTATAAGCACTGTAGTACTTTCTAAAATCTGAAAAATTTTGAATTCTAAAATTTATCTGGTCCCAAGGGTTTCAGATGATGGCTTATAGGACTGTATCATATTTGCTCAATATACAAAACTGCATGTACAGCAATGACAAAGTATATTAAAAATCATTTGTAGAGGGGTTTAAAAAGGAATATAAGGAAGCATTCCAGTGGTAACTGGGTGGTAAAATCATGGGTGACATTTCCCCTGATTCTACAACTTTTCTAAAATTAGTGTGTACTATTTGTGAAATTGAATATATATATACACATATATATATAATATATATAATACATATATATATATATATAATACATATATATATACTATAAACATTCCCTAAGGGGTAAAGATACTATTACAATGTGCTTTTATTAGAGAGGAAGCTGTTAACAATGGCATACCTGTCTGATCATGCAGTGCAGCAGTCCCCTCATCAGCTTCACTACACTCTGCAGAAATAAATGGAAACAAGGCTATTATAAACATCACTGGATGCAGGAACACTTACTCAGCAACTGCAGTTGGTACATGACCTTTTGAAAACAAGTAACCTTATCCTGGGTTCTTATTTACATGGCATTTACTTTATAAGTACACAGAAGAGCAGATTGCAGGTCAAAGTAGAATCAAAAGCTGCAGCTGGTTACTCCTTCAAGTTAAAAATTCCAGGTTCCAACAGGTTTATATAAAACTAAGCCAACCATCCTATTAGAGGACATGCCACCTAGAGAAAATGGGCAAGTCAGTTCAAAAATCATAAAGCTATAAGGATATTCTAAAATACACCCTATGGCCTAGAAAAGCCAACATTATCACTTTTATTTTTTCTAAACTAGCCAATTCTTATCTTCAAGAGTCCACACCAATATTTTTTTGGACATTTTCCCTAAAGAATAAAATGATCTTCAGTTCAGAATAACTGTAAAGAGGAATTGTTAATACAACTCAACACCTTTTCTATGAAAAAGAAAAAAACCACAAACTTCTTAAATCATTATTTCTCTTACTAGGGCCTTGCAATTTCTAAAGTAGTTTTCTAATCATGGTACTCCAAAATTCTGATTACCAACAATATACTATACTACTTGGTATACTATAATGTAGTAATAATAATTATATTTAATTATAATATAGTATAGTAATACGATACTACACAATATGATACTATACTATACATACTACACTAGTTATACTACAGGAAACTAGAAGGGCCCATCAACAGTAGCATGGATAGGCAATATGTTTTGGAAGAACATCACCAAATAGCTTCTCCATTTCTCTAAGCTTTCTTTGTCACAGTCTAGAAGAAATACCACCAGGTTACTCTAGGGAATGCTGGCTCAGAGGTGGCTTCAGGACACCTCTGTAAATAATCTACTTGGGAGACATATCATTCTGTTATTCTTTCAAAACATTCAAGCAATAGGCATGATAAGGATAAGTACCTATTAATTATCCTCCAACTCTTTATGAAGTATTTTATTGAGGAAAAAATAAAAAGTGTTTTCTTGAGAGAGTATCTTTTAAAAATAATTTCTATCTATAAATGGTCTCCTCCCCTTACAGATGAAGAAATAAGAGACAGAGAAAAACAGAGAAAGAAAAAGGAGAGAGAAAGAAAGAGAAGGGGGACACAGTGCATGATCTTGTCACCTTTTAAAGCATGAGGCATTTATTATAAAGTAATGAAACTGATTGTAACTCCTGTAAAAAAAGCTCTATCATTATTCTAACCCTAATAAAAGATATCATCCTTTAATATACCGTTACAGAAAGCACTTAACACACCCTCCCCACTCTGTGGGGAGACTTCATTCAATTCTGAATTATCTTCTACATGTTATCACATCCTTTCAAATCTCTTTTCTATCCAGCCCTGCTACTCCCACCTACATTTTCTTTAATTTAAACAGAAAACTTAGGGAATCCTGGACCCAGTAGAGGATTCCTGATTGCCATCCATTTTTGTCCTCCTGAAATGGCCACTGTCAGCCATTTCAAGTTCCAACTCTCAAGTCAGGATAGGATAAAATTAATAGGAAGCATGGGGAGGTAAAAATAAGAGGAGGTATCTGTACTTTGCATTCCCCGAAACTGGCCATATTCTCATTCAGGTGCACTAGGTGGCATTGATTATACATGTTTATTAATATACCAGGGCTTCTAACCATACCAAGTGATACCTTCCTTTCACCTACTCTTTTTGAGGCTATATATCTATGTATTTGTGAGTTGATTATATAAGGGTATACAGTGGAACCTCAGTTCTCGAACTCAATCCATCCTAGAAGGCTGTTCAAGAAGCAAATTGTTTGAAAACCAAATAATCTTTTCCTATTAGAAATAATGTAAATTGAATTAATTCATTCCAAACCCCCAAATGATTCTGTTTTAACCTCTCTTTTATACAGTACACATCTAATGTATTATTTAATCTATAAACAAACACTTCTTTTCTTAAATTTATCAAACCATCTTCTACTAGCCTTAAACGAATCACTTTCAGCACTCCTTCCAGGGGTGTCTTTCAGGAGGTCAGCATGTAGCATCTTCGCTTGCTGTCACTGGCTAACTGCTTTTCATTTATCCAAATCAACAGCGGTTTTTCTATCTCTTCAGTTGCCTGTGAGAATTGTTTCTTTCCACCCTTAGCAACATTAGCACTCTTGATGGGCTTTGAAAGAAAAGTATTAGCTCAGACAGAAGGGAACATGCATCAGAAATGGAAGAAACTCATAAAGATTTGGTGGCTTCCATGGAGGAAAAAGTTTTAAAAGATTCAATCTGAAGTCATTATACTGAGGTTGTATTCATATCACCACTAAATTCCAGCCTGCTTCAATCCCTTCACTTGTAAATTTGGGAAAATAATAACTAATTTACAGGGTGTTGTGAGAATAAATGCTAGCAGTTATGGGGAAGTATGTAGGACATGAAAAGTATTTACATAAATGTCAGGTATTTTTATTAAGAAATTGTTAGAGTAATAAAGGTACCTATCTGGCTGGAACTGCAGGTATAATGCAGGGAACCAGCATGAGATAATACTGGCTAGGACCAAACCCTAGAGAGCCTTGTCTATCAGTCCAAAACATTCAGGTTTTACTTGTTGGGGAATGAGAGCCACAGAAAGATTGTTGTGTATGGAAATAATATAACTTAAGTGTGGTTTTTACAACAGTGTTAAATGATCAAGGTTTAGACTAGAGTTGAGGCAGAAGGGACAAGAAAGGAGGGGATGGGCTCAAGAAAAATTATAAGAATCAACAGACTTTGGTCTGCATGTATCAAAAGGCAAAAGGGACAAGTCAAAGATCACTCTAATAGCAGCACTTTTCAAACACTGTTTTATAGAATACTAGTCTAGGAAATTCTTAAAAGGCTGTAAAATTCACTCCTATCTTAGATTCAAAATGCACTTTACTACACCTTAGTACATTAAAGGCTCTAAGAAATTATGGAGTAAAGAAACCTGCTGTTTAACATAGCCCCAAACTTAACTGACCTAGTGTTCCATGGAACACATTATGGGAAATACTCTAAGTAATGTTGTTCAGGTGACCAGCACACTGAAGACACCAATAAAAGAAAACGCAATGTTTAGTGAATTGCTGTTATTTGATAGTCCATTTTGTTTGTTTTTAGCGGGGAAGGTGGCATTTCAGTCATAATGAGTTTGAGAAACCACAGGATATGCAGGGACAACTGATCAGAAGACAAATGAAAATCAGGGTTTGACACTGAAGTGAGGTCAGAGTTAAAGATGAAGCTTTGGAAGTCATTCTCATAAAGGTAACAGTTAAAGTCATGGCAAAAGATGAGAGACTACACAGAGAATAAAACTGAGGCAGAAGTAGAACTGAAGTCAGCCAAAGAGCAATCTCTATTTGTCTTACTATTTATTTTTATGGGTGTGAGTGAATATTTATAGCTAAGAAAAAAGGACATTTGGAAAACATGTATGTGCATAATTCTATTCTCAATCTAGGATGAGATAGTCACCTAAACCCTTGAGCCCTTTTCATCCAGAATTCTCTTTAGTTCTGACATTATTTCTCAGAGTGAAACCAAGGTGAGAGTTGGAAGGAAGGGTAGAAATGGTTAACAATCAATGGTTTGGGAAAATCCACACAGTAATGGGTAAATCTGCTTTAAATTGACAGTAGATGGGAATTTAACCCTTGGATTTATTGGGTTTAATCTATGCTCATTTATTGTCCATACATCAGTGGTTATTATCCCTGGCTGTACTTTAGAATAACCTGGGTAGTTTATTTAAAATATTCATGAGTTACAGTTGTGTTCTCCAAGTTCTTGTGTCCCTGCCAGCGCTGCCTGGGTGGCCTCCCAGAATGGCGACCCAGACACCACCAGCCTGGCCGCAGCTCATAAAGGAGCCGAACCCAGCAGGGGCACAGCCGGGGCCCCATGTGCAAGAGGTTACAGCAGGAGCTGATGACCCTCATGATGTCTGGTGACAAAGGAACTTCTGCCTTCCCTGAATCAGACAACCTTTTCAAATGGGTGGGGACCATCCATGGAGCAGCTGGAACAGTATACAAAGACCTGAGGTATAAAGCTCTCCCTAGAGTTTCCCAGTGGCTACCCGCACAATACACACATGGTAAAATTCCTCATACTCTACCACCCCAACATAGATACCCAGAGTAACATCTGCCTGGACTTCTTAAAGGACAAGTGGTGTGCCCTATATGATGTCAGGACCATCCTGCTCTCCATCCAGAGCCTGCTGGGAGAAAATAACATCGATAGCCCATTGAACACACATGCTACAGAGCTCTGGAAAAACCCGACAGCCTTCAAGAAGTACCTACAAGAAACCTACGTAAAGCAGGTCTCCAGCCAAGAGCCCTGACCTGGGCTGTCCAGCCTCTCTCCTTGTGCTGTCTTTTTATTTTTTCCTTAGATAGACTGTCCTTGCTTTGATTTCTGTATAGGACTCTGTACCTTCAGCTGTGGTGTCATATTTGCTTTGTCTCTGGTTGAATATATATTTAAGTCTGGTCTATATATTTAATATATTCATCACTTTTGTGAATATATTAAATAAATACATTTTGGGTTTTGAAAAAAACAATAAATAAATAAATAAATTAAATATTTGCGTCCCTGGGACTCCACTTTAAGAGATTTATTTAAATTATTCTAGGGTGGGCTGCAGTAAGGATATTTCTTAAAAAGCTCCCCACATGATTCCATTGTACATCCAGAGGTTAGAAATACTCATGTAGACTATCGACAAATATAGCTCACTGCCTATTTTTGTAAATAATACCTATTAGAACATAACCATGCTCGTTCATGTATGTATTGCCTCTGGCTGCTTTTGTGCATTAATGGAAGAGCTGAGTAGTTGGGCAGACACATGTGATTCACAGTGCTGAAAATATTTACTATCTAGACCTTTACAGAGATGGTTTTGTAATCCCTGGTCTGAATTAAGTCAGGTTTGAGAAAAAAATCAAAATTTTACAATTCCCAGAGAATATGTTTCTTTTTTGAAGATGTTTCCTATTGCCATAATGTTTTTGAGACATTCCAAAGTTATTTTTGAGGTGGTATGCAAAATATTTGGGGGTTATGTAAAAAATTATTTAACAGAGCATTAAAATTTTAGAATGAACAATTTGATGTTTCCCTAAATTGTACCCCTTCCTCTGTTAAATTCTTTCTACCTGGGGCACTTAAGGAAAAATGTCAACTTTGCAGAATGATTGGTCGACAAGGAGACATCAGGTTTCTTCTAATAGTACTGAAAAAAATTGGTCAAATTGTACCAAGTACGGAATCTTGGGTGTTATTCCACTGATATTAATTTCTAGCAAAACAAAATAAACAAAATACTGAGAACAATGTAGCAAAACATTAGAGTAGGATATAGGATTTGGGTGGAGGAAAGGATAGTATTACAGGTAATTTTTTAACAGTCCTCTACATTTCCCAAATTTATACAATGGTCATGTATATGTTATAAAAATATTGATATCTGTACTTTCTGAGCTAGAGCAAAAACTCCAACAATTTTTTCTGGTGGACCTAAGCACTTCTCATTAGTAGCTTGAAAGAATAACAAATGCCCGCTATTGAGGAGGATAACACAATGAAACCTCCCTATTGCCAAGGACTGCAATCCACAACATGTCGGTGCCTTTAAATTAACCACATCTCAATATTCTGACTTATAGATGAATACTAGAGCTCAGATTATCTAAATCTGAGGGGACGGCAGTTGAGAAAATGGCTGGTGTAAAGAGAATCTTACCCACTATGGAAAAGAATTTACATACAACTTACAACTGACAGCAGAGTATCTCAACATTAAGAGTCCCATTAGCCCAGAATATTGTTTTCTTGGTCATTCAAAGGACGAAGCACCCTGTGTTTAAACAGCTTTATAAAGGATGCTTCTTTACTCAGGGGAAGAGCCTGAAAAGTTGGCTTAAAGGCATCTGTTGACTCTGACCTTATTTTTCCAGGGAAGATGGGGTGAAGAATAGTCTCTGAAACAGTGGTCATAAGTATAAAAATCAACAAATAAACAGTCTTTACTTGTGTTCAGTTGAGAAGCTTACCTTCAAACAAACATCACTATCATCTTCAAAAATGAAGTAAAATGGTATGTACCTGCCAGCAAACATTCTTCTTAATGAGAATAAATATGCTGGAGACTACAAAAGACATTTACTTAGAAAGAGGACATACATTTTAGCAAAGATCTCATGATAGTATTTTCCACTGTAAAAGAACAGACTGTACCTTCTGCCCTGAATCAGCAAGTTTCAAGTTTCCACTGTAAAAATATTCAGTACAATACAGGAAAGACTTTTGGAATGTAATTTTAGGAAGGTGAAAAAAAGGGGAAAAAGGAAAAATACAGTTCTCTTAACTCCTGTGGGCTAGGCTACAAGTTTCTTTCAATTTCCCCTCCCATACATACACACCACACAGCTCCAGATCTCTTTGTATTTTTATTTTGAGTACCTGCTCCAGTTCATAGGCCTTTGCCTTATCCTCATCCCGGTCTGCATTCTTCCGATAGGCCAGGCCCAAACCCCACACAGCCAAGATGCTGTACACATTATCCCGGACCCAGGCATCTTTCTGATCGTAGCTGGCTGGAAGCAAGCCAGTCACTGGATTCTGCAACGCCAAGAAAAAGAGGACAGGCAGGTAACCATAGGGTGTTAATATTAGGAAACAATCTATCAAATGGCATACTTAGGGGACTTTGGTCTTATTTCTACTTCCGCACTCCTGAGAGTTACAACCACCTCTTCTGAACAAGTGCAAGAAAACGTTGTCTTGAACAAGGGGGAAGAGCTGTTTGAAAACTTAGAAGTCTGAAATGTGGGTTTTTGAAAAGAAAGGCCCTGTTTTAACTTTCCAGTTAGAATTAGCTACCAACGATAAACCAGCATTAAAGAAGTATTAAAAATATAATTAACAGTCTATACAAGGTACCTCAGATCTTCACAATAGTCTAGTCTTAAGATGGCTAAACGTTCCCTGTTTTCTTTGGCAGGAGGGGAAGGAAATGATGCCCAAACCTGGGGCGGGTTGTCAGTAAACAAACTTCAACGCATCTTTCAAATCTGTCCCCTGGAATCCATTTGTGGCTTGCGGGCACGGGGCTCAGAAACCATGACTCAGGGCCTGTGGCTAAGGGTGCCTGACTCCCAGCTAAGGGGCAGGAGAAACACACACGCGCACCACACGGGTTCACCGAGGGACACGGACACACATACAGCATAGGTTCACCGAGGGTCTCCGTCCAGGCTATCACACCACACACATCCTCGGTAATTACAGGCGACACTTAATTTACCTGATGGCACAGGATGGTCTGATGCACCAGCCTAGCGTAGCCGTCCAGCCGAACCCCCGAGTTACTCCGGCTCCTCATCGCTCCACGTCTCCAATCCCCTCAGAGAAACGGCCGGGGTGCCGCAGGGGCCTTCGATCCTCCCGGGAAGGAGGCTCCCACGCAGCTGCACCCTCGCTGTGGGAAGCCCTAGTGCCAGGCCCCAGCAGAGCGCTCCAAACGCTCAGGCCTGGGTCAGCTGTCTGGGCCACGGCGGCCTCTGGAGCTCACCACACCGCCTCACCCAGCCTCCCGCGGTCTGGGGCCCTAGAGCCGCTTTCACCCACCCTTACACCCGTCAGGCCTCCGCGTGTGGCTCCTGCAGCTTCCGCTCAACTCCGGGAGACCGGCTCAACTCCGGGAGATGGCCGCGGCCCACAGCCCCTCCTCTGGGCCCTCGGGCAGCTGGTCACCCGCTGCAGCGCCTCCTCCACCTTGCCTGAGGAGCTGCGAGCAGTAGGCGGGGCGGGCGCTTGGGATCCTGGCAGCTGCGCACTGTTCCCTCCGTGTTCACCGCCCCCCGCGTCCACCCTCTGCGTTCCAGTCCGCCCAGCTGCGGAGACAGTGTCACCATAGGCGATGTGATTTCAGAGGTTTATTTTCGACGCTTCGAATGAGTATTTCTGTTTTCCCCACTTGCTGTGCTGTCAGGATGTTGATGAGGCTGTTTTTTTTTTGTGTTTTTTTTTTCTGTTGAACTTTTAGGAACCCACGGTGACTTCAAACCTAAAAAGAAAGGGACACATTTGTGTTGAAGGCCTAAAGAATTGAAATTTCCAGAAAGGTAATTTCCGAGTCTTTATTGTATTTTACACTGTTGACTAAAAGCTCAGATTACATTCCTCACTCGACCAAACACTAAAGAACTCCCTCTGGTACTTACTTCCTTAGAAACTGGCGAATCCGTGGGCCTGGGAAGGGGTGTGCAGTGGTGCTGTTTGAGGAAACCAGTGATTGTGAAAATCTGCTCTGGGGTAGGGTGGGGAGTGGTGCCTCAGGATGGCCTTGGCCGGCGAGGAGCTGAAAGACGTTTTATAACTGATTTGGAAGGCTCCGTCGTGCACACGTCAGTCACAAGGCCCAGGCAACAGGCTCAGCTGAAAATAACCGGGAAAAAGGAAGGGTAGAAAAGAAGCCTGCTGGTAACTCCGCACCGCGCCAGGTGTCAGCTGTAGCTCCCTGGGTTCACTGCCCCCAAACCCCACTTCTTGAGCTCCACTTCCAAAGACCCCGCAGGTCTTGGGAGGCCCTGTTTAAGTAACACCTGCTCTCTGAATCGTTGGATTAAGAGAATTAGACCTTTCAAATTCCAACTCTGATAATCTGTGATCCTAAGCCTTCCCTAGCCACCTCACCCAGGTCACAGTGATTTTGCATTTTTGTTTATACTTTTATTTCTCTAAATTTAGTCTCTTCTAAGCTTACTCCATCCCAAACCCCACCCTCACCCTCTCCCAAATTAACATAAAGGCAGCCACCTCAGAGGTGACCATAAAGATCTGGTGATGTTGGAGAAGGAAGGAATGCTCAGTGATACAGTTAGGCACAGTGATAGAATTCTCAAGCAAATAGTTTCCATTGCAATCATTAGCTATGCAAATACTGTAACTGGTACATAACAAGCTACTTCAAGGCCTGGGTGCACAGGTGGAGAAAAAGTCTTTCATTTTGGAGGAAAGAACACTTCCCCAGCCCTGCTCTGCACCTAACTCCATGACATCTTCCCCTCAGCTTGTAGCCTCAAAAGCCCTTTATCCTTGTCTACTTCAACCTACTGCCTTCTCTTTACCTTACCATCATTTTTAAATGTTTTTAAAATATTAAAGTATATATATGGTCACTAAGGAAAACTTGGAAAGTCTAGAAAATTAAAGCAAATCACTCATAATTCCTTCACACACACGACCACCAGTTAATATTTTAGTTTATTTTTTCTAATAATTTTATTCCTCTGTACAGACCACCCCCCCAAGTTATTTAGAAATATGAATAGATAGGAATGCCAGAGGTAGGGTGTCACAAAGAAAGGTAACTTGATGACTATCAAGAGGCCTTGCTGGATGGCATTACATTGGTATTTTCAACCTCAGTCCAGGCTGGGCCTTCAGTCGTGCGATCTCAGAAACTTGATCTCCTTAGGGCCCCAGAACTGGTCAGATTCAGGAGGCTGACTCATGCAGATTACCACACAAGAGACTATCTGAAATCCAGCATACTGGTTGATAATAAGAAATAGAACTGTGAAAATTTATATTAGCCTGATCACCACATTCCTCACTTTAATAATATATAAACCTCACTCTTTACCAAGTGCTGTTTTATACAATAACCCTATGAAGTAAATACTGTCATTAACTCCATTTTAGAGATGTGTTAATGTATGAAACATTCAAACCTGTGAAGAATTTTTGTGAGTTTATTTGAGCCAAACTGTCAACACCTTGCTAGTTTTGCACTTTGTTTTATGCATTACAATCAAAGAGGGAGACATAAGTGGGTTATATGAAATCCATTGGTGATAGATTAGGGAGGTGGGAGAAAGCAAAGGGGGGGACCTCTGGGGATTGGATAAAAAGTAAAATGATAAACACTTCTTTTACTTGGGTGGGTGCAGGATAGTTAACAGTCAGCAATTAATTCAATAACAATAAGGGGATTTGTGGCCTCCACAGAGTGGTGCCTGTGCTTTGAGGGGTCCAGGGAGGAAAAGGAAAATTACTTTGATATTCCAATGATATGTTATCGTAGATGCAAAAAGACAATAGGTAGGCTCAGTTAAGGTAAAGATTGACCTTTGTCAGGGAAGATACCTTTGTCATGGCCTAGGACATGACTACCCACCATAAACTGCTTTTAGTTAAAAAGTTTTAATTTCAGACCATCCATTGTGGTTACTTTAAGTCTCTGAGTTTGCAAGGCTGCCACACAGTCTTTCCTGAGCTAGTCAGGTAGCATGTGGCCCCTTTTTTGTCCACAGATGGAGAAACTAAGGTACTTGAGGATTAAATAACTAACAAGTCTGCTTTGTACATGTTGGCTTCAGTGACTCTCCCTTTTCTATGGCTCACTGACACATTCTTTCTTTAGATATGTCAAAATTATCAATCAAGCCATATTCAAGTCTTACCAGTCTAGAAGCCATTGTTTCTTGAGGGTGATTTTTCCATTTGATTCATTGTATATTAATTTTATAGTTTAACAAATAAAATTTTAATTCAAAGTTCCTAGGAATGTTTTATTATTGCTCCCTTATATTACTTGGAAGTTTTAATTACTAATTTTCAAATATCCAAAAATTTTTAAACTTTACATTTTGCAAGTATTTTCCATGGTTTTACATCTTATGCTAATGTCTGAATTAATCTTTTTTTTCTAGTAGATATCCCATAGTTTGCTTAACTATTCTCTTATTATTAATACAGTAGTCCCCAATTATCCACAGGGGATATATTCTAAGACACACCCCCAGTGGATAGGTGAAACCACAGGTAGTACTGAACAGTAATATGCTATGTTTTTTTTCCTATACATACATACCTTTGATAAAATTTAATTTATAAATCAGGCACAGTAAGAGGTTAACAGCAATAATTACTAATAAAATAGAACAAATATAACAATATACTGGAACAAAAGTTATATGAATGGTTTAGGGGCCATTATTTCTTTTTTCTTTTTTATTTTTTTTAAATAACTGATTTTATTTATTAATATATCTTTATTGATTTCAGAGAGAGGAAAGGAGAGGGAGAGAGAGAGCTAGAAACATCAATGATGAGAGAGTCATTGATCGGCTGTAGCCCGCAGCCCGGGCATGTGCCCTGACCGGGAATTGAACCCTGATCGCCTGGATCCTAGGTCGACGCTTAACCGCTGAGCCAC